AGGAAACCTGCCGCAATCACAGTGAGTGGGACAAGTGTTAAAATCCAAAATCTGACATAAGCTAATAATACAATAGTAACAAAAGTGTAAACACAAGAAAGAATTCTTAATGTGAGTGCAAACTAATAGTCAACTATTAGCAGTAATGTAAGGGCTAAAAAAAGCTGTATTTCTAATTGAAAACGGCTGGATATTTAGGTTGATTGTCAACTAGAAAGTAGATAAAAACACGATCTCCGCTTAAATTTAATCTAAATGCTGCTGTAAGTCTGCTGTGTCTGTGCTTAAAACATAAAAGCTACATTAAGCTAAGACTCTCAAAGCTTTTACTGTCTAAACTTCAGCTGATGTGTGACTCATGCTCAGTCTCTCACCAGAAGCTCTTGCTGCTTGTCAGTGGAGGAGTGACTGGCCACTCTGTAGAGGTCCACCAGATCTCCCAGCATACCGTCGCCCAGCACCGGCAGGTGGGTGGCGATGGCTGCCAGAGCGTGGCACAGAAGAACGCGTGAGGTGTCACAGGATAAGTGGAGTTGGCCGAGCAGGAACTCCACAGCCGATTGGCTGAGATGGGGTCGACTTTTCAGCATCTTAACCAATGAGGTGAGGGCCGTCTGGGGTGGGGTTGACACAAAAAAAGGGAAGGAGAAAGTTATAATCAAGAACTTCTGCATGGCCCTTTCCCCTGACTTTATCGACTAGAGCTGGGAACAGTTTGAAGTGTGATATTATTTTTAGTTCACTACATTTCTACAAAGACTTTTTTCATTTAACAAAACAGGACAAACTTACCAAATATTAAATGTTCCCTAAACACAACAACGTTAATAAGTAATTACCATTACTAGTAAAATAAGTAAACATAATTACTAATCTGACCAGACATTTCATGACAACTTATGGAACTCGATAGTTTTCTATACCATGTTTGAAGAACATTTTGACTGCTGCCAAAAAAGTATTGCTGTTCAGTGTTCAGCCTGTATCGACTGCCTTGTTGTTATAATGTCTTACTTTGAGAGTGGCCTGGGCACTGGGGCTGCTGTCCTGACTGCAAAGCATCAGAAGGGACTCCACTCCCAAAACTGTGTCCTGCTCCAACTGTACTATATCTGAGGAGGAGAAATACACACAGAGGCACTCAACACAAAAGCAAACACCAGTGGGGTGAATCTGAAATTAAATCATTTGCATGAGTAACTGGCATTAAAGTAATCCCTAACCCAAGCCATTACTTGTTGTAACTAACCTTTTTCTGGACAGGAAATGGCAATGTTGGAGAGTACTATGACCCCATGAGCAGCCACTGCCAGGTTGCTGTGGTAACAGCATTCTTGCGCTAGTTTAACCAGGTCAGTGAGCCGGGGGGGAACTGAGGAGCTACCTGAATGTTTGAGAGGAATACAGATCAGTCCAGAGTTATTCTTTTTCACAATACAAGTAACAGCAGTGGAACATGCTATATATAATGTATATAAAGCCGAGGTAAAATAAACACCACCTGTCATATTACTGAAGTACTGCTTGATTGCGATTGTTCCAGAGAGGGTGGAGAGGACAGCCAGCATCCCCAGCTTCAAGCTGTTGTAAGGGCTACTCAATGCACACTCACACAGAGTCTGCAGGTAGAAACACGTTCACATTACCTACAGGTTTCACGCAAACATGACGAAAATGATGTGGTGCACTTTCAACATCTGAAAGGCTACCTGAGTGTTTTCTCTGATCCAAAGATGAGGAGCCTTTTTAGCCAGGAGCTTTAGGTCGTTAATTGCAAGTCTCTTCACAGCTTTTCTTGGGTCATCTTTCAGGTACTGAAGGAGGAGCTGTAACTGTATGGACAAGGAATCAAATAGCAACAACTGTTAAACACTTGTCAAGACAAAATACTACAACAGGTACAAAAACTAACCACCAATGACGATGTAAAGCTCTGTCATCGCCCCTACCTGCTTAGGGATATCAATGAGGGAGAAGGCGGCCAGCTGAGTGAAGGTGTGCAGGGTGACGATGACCATTGGGGTGGAGGGATAGGAGTTGACCAGGTGCTGTAGGAGCTCTCTGCTGCTGGACGCCAAGCTGGCATCATGGTGCATGTGCTGCAGCATGGGAATCAGCTTCAGCTTCAGTTCCACTGGAGTGTCCAAACCTGGAGTAAATGTACAGACCAAGGAGGAATACAACCTCTGTCAAAGATGAAGTGAACATAACACGTCCTTTCTTCAGAACAGAAAGCTTTGCCTGGACAATTCACTGTGAATCACTTGTTTTAGGCCTTAATTTGTTCTTATTTCAATTTTTGGTAGTTGTTTGGAATATTTAATGAATATCCAAAGCTTGTAAAAAATGTATTCTTGACAGCCATTATTTCCTAAAATGTGATTGTTGAATGCGATGCAAAGGTTTTACCTTGAATCATCTCACTGACTTTGTTACAAATCCCAGCTGCAAAGTCTCTGAAAATTAGAAACCACATAAAAAAAAAAAAAATCAAATTCATGTTATCCAATATTTTTGCACTACAGTTCAGTTTAAGTAATGAATTTCCTTACTTTGACTGTGCAGAAAAGCTTGCAGCTGCAAATATGGCAGCTTCTACTTCCACATTGTCATGAGAGTCCAGACTTTGGCGAATACTGTGGTGGGCATTCTTCCTCTCTGGGATGATGGAGGCCAAACTACCAAGCATCCTGAAAAGAGGGAGCAACAGGGAAATTGTTTTCAGTCTCAGACAACTGGAAGCAGGGGGAAGTTGGCGTGCATACATTACAAACGTATTCTGGGACTGTACAGTAGTACACTTTTATGGCAAAAATCCTGCGCCAACCAGCAGGTACACTTATGTTCCATTTTCATTATTACACATTATTACCTCAGCGTAATGGCTCTGGCCACAGGGTCATTGCTGTGGATGACCGAAAACACCCTTTTAACGAATTCATCCACATTAAGGATCTTTTCCAAGTGTTTCTCGCTCTGTTGAGTTACCTTCAGCACACAAAGGCGCAGAAAGTTGTTCCTGAAATCAGAGAAACCATCTTTATTAACAAAGACGTTTGTGCCACAATAAAATCAGTCCTACTAATTACACTCCATAGTCATGTTACTAATGATTAATTACTGTTAATGAATCACTTTTTTGTTATAAAAAATATTTAAAATATTGCTAATCACAAGTTACCAGAGCACCAAATGTCATGCAGAAAAATCAGAAGTACTCAATTAATGTTGTAACTAGTACATCTAGGTAAAAGTAATAGTGTCTAATACACCAGCCCTGTAATCAATCCTGCCTTCATGCAGGTTCTAATGTTCAGTTCTTGTTAAAGTTTTGGCGGCTGTAATTAGTGGTGTAGTTTAACTGCATTGTGTATTATTGAAAGGTGTGTCTAATATGTACTAAAGCCGATTAGTTGATTAATTAATTAGTCAATCAACAGAACATTTCTCGGCAACTATTGTGATGAATAATTTATGATTTTAAAACATTTTTAAGAAAGAAAATATTCTCTGGTTCCAGTTCCTTGCTTTTCTTTGTCATACATGACAGTAAGCTGAATACCTTTGGGTTTTGGACTGCTAGTTGGACAAAAAAGTCATATGAAGATGTCACATCAGGCATTTGGAAAATTAGATATTTTCCCCCATTCTCTAATATGACTAGTGGAGTAATCGAGAAAAGATGCAGCCCTAATATTTACTTTACCCAAGGATAGATTAAGATTTGTTGCATGGCTGTGTGACTGTATTACTGAAGCAGCCATCAAAATTTAAAATGTCATTCAGCAGCTATCGTGTCAGCACCAGTTTCTAAAGCGTCCATACCCAAGTCTGAAGATGTCTGCTAGTTTCAGAAATGCGGAGTTGATGAGGATGGGAAAAGGGTACTTCTGGAAGAGTTTGGGGAAGAGCACAACCGCCTCACACTGCTCTCCCAGCTTCCCTGACCGCAACCCTGGAATTGGAGCAATTTCACTAGTCACAACAAAGCAAAGACATCTCACATGGCCGGTAACATTTCGCAAAACCATCACATGGAAAAGACACAACACACGACGTAGGACAACAGAGCCGTGTGCTAACTAGTTAGCAAGCCAGCTAACGCACCTTTGTCCAACTCCATGAGAGCGGAATTGGCGTCGAGCTCTTGTTCTCCATAACAAGCCTCTGATAAGAATGACCGTGCAGTGGACAGCGACATTGTTGTTTAGTTTTTTTCACTTGAAAAACCAGGCTTCACTGCTCCCATCGGTCGTTAGATTTCACTGTTCATGGGGTGAACAGAAAACATAAAGCCCGGTGTTACAGCTGTAATACTTCCGGTTTGGGTTTGTTTTTCACAATAAAGCGCTCCTAATATGTTAAATGCTGAAGTTTCGTCCATTGACTATTTACTACTTTCTGAAAACACAAATCTTTATGTAAAAAAAAATCAGTTAAACTGTTATCGTTTAAGACATACATATTTGCAGTGGTGGAAAATGACAAAATGCACTTACTGAGGCACTGTGTAGGAAATATTGTACTTTTTACTCCACTACATTTATTTCACAAGTGCTTGTTAGTTATTTTTCACATTAAAATTTTACATAGAATGCATTTGTCGGTTTATATAATAAGACGCACAGTTATAGATTAAACTTAAAATATATAAAGCAGTTAAAATCATGTCCATTTTAAGTACAAATTTGAATACACTATTATTGTGTACTGTTACGGGTTATTACTGAATACTTATTCCATCACTGCTTATTTACAGAACACTTCCTGGACCACCCAAAACAAAGGTGATTTGTGTCTGGGTGATTCGGTAGTTATTATGGCAAACTTTACAAACCGGCGGCACAGACAAAGCGGATGAGGAAGTGCCGCTGTAGAGGAAGTTGCTGTTTCCACCAATGGCAGAGAGCGACGCAAGTTTAGCGGGGGATTCAGTCCCTGTGCTCAGGAGATCTGTTCGCGGGAAACACAAGCAGCATCAGCAACAGGCAAAGAGACCACCAGCTAACTTCTCGAGATTATTAAAAAATAATTGTGGATCGTCTTCTGCTGGAGTGTGGAGATGCTTTTCCGCTCTATCGTTGACAGAGGAGTCGGCAGACGACGGCAGAATGGTGAGACAATCAGTGTGTGGAGGTTTTACTGTGTGAGCTCTGCGGGTTATTGTGCTACATACACAGCTACAGGCGAGCTTTAGCAAGGTTAACATACAGATATTTAACGTAAATCTTTCTATTTTATGTTTACTTCACTCAAAGCGTGAAAGAGTCATTAGCAATGGATGGACTTAACTATAAAAAAGCTGTAAAACATGCAGGTTCATTGTCAGAAAAGCATATTACAGTATGTACCCATCTGAAAATTGAGAGACGTAAAAATGTTGAGGGGAGTTTCGAAAGCGAAGTTTTATACATCTTTTTTTACATGTAAATTGTACAATTTCTTGGTGACAAGCAGCTACTCCTTAGAATACATTTATGCAATAAAAATTTTGGACAGGAGGCCAATCAGATCTCATTACTTTCATGTCCTTAAGAAAGTAAAGGTCTTAAGTTTTGATCATGACATTAATATTGGCCTAAATAAACAGGCTTCTTATGTGTTCTGTGAACCTTCTTCGGGTTTCTGGATCAGTGACTTAAGATGTGCAATAGCAACTAGCATTTCTAGTAGTTATTGGTTAATCTACCAACTATTTTATCAAGTCATTGTCATTTGAGAAACCTGGAAGCAGGGAAAGTTTGCCATTTTTGGATAGATAATTAGTAAAGTTATTATTTGATGATTAAAATAGTTGCTGATTAATTTTCTGTCCATCTGTTAATTGATTAGTCGAGTAATTGTTGCAGCTGTAGTGTGTCAAAAGGGAAATGTATGGCATGTGTTCTGAAAAACTCCTTTGGACAGTACAGTACCTTTTTAGACCTTCTCCACATGAGGGATCAAAATGTGGATCCATACTTGCAGAACAAAAACAAAAGTATCACATGGTCTTGTCTCTTAATGTGGTAGAGCAGGCTCTTACAAAATTGAAATATTTTTGTTTATTTTAGTACAGCATCTGACTAAATGCTATTTCCTGTGCAGCCCTCCCTGCAGATTCTTGGCCCAGGTACCCCCTGAGCTCCCTGCTGCAAGGCTACCAGTGCGTTCGACACGACGAACACGTCTCCTATGGCAACCTGGGTGACTCCGTACCACCGTTTGGATTAGCTTTCTCCTCTGGTAACCCACCTGCATTTTTTCATCAGATGAGGCACATCAGAGCTGGTGGCTGTTGTCGTTTATTTGACTAACTGTACGTACCCTCTCCTCTCATCTCTCTTTAGCTGGGGACCTGCAGAATGTCCTCGCAGCAGCTAATGAAGAAGGCATCGTTAGGATCTACAACACAGCGAGCCGAGAAAACCCGCTTCTTAAAGGTATGTGTAGAGACTTCTTTGTTCACAATTGTCCTGTCCATCATCAGGGAATAGCAGTGGCTCATGGTATGTGAACTTTACAGAATGGCTGGCTCACGAGAATGCTGTCTTTGACATTGCCTGGGTCCCCGGAGAGTCTCAGTTGGTAAATATAAATGAATTCCACATTGTTAATCCTCTGTGAATCAGAGACATCTTTTAAATACTGTCTTTAAATGCATTTATTGACTATGTTTGGATATTTGTCACATTCATATTTTCACATGCTCTTGTGATTCCTTGTAATTCCTCATTTTGTAATATTTTCTCTTTTTTTCTCTCCATGTATTTATTTATTTATTTATTTATTTATTTATTTTATTTATTTATTGATTGATTGCTGCACACATGCTGCACATTGTAATCTCTCGGTGTATCTTCCACAGGTAACTGCTGCAGGTGATCAGATGGCCAGGTTATGGGATGTGAAGTCAGGAGACATGTTGGGAAGTTTCAAGGGCCACCTCTGCAGTCTGAAATCTGTTGCATTCACACATCAGGAGAAAGGTACATTATGTCCTTGAGCAAATATATAGCCAGGGGCTGTTAAAAACAGGAAAACATTGTGTTGGTGGTGTCTGGATTACATAATACAGCATATTGAAACTAGATGTAGGAGCTATGGTAACCAGTTAACTGAAATATTTAGATACTATATACCTTTGCCTGCTGTTGTGGCACTAAACCATAAAAACATGCAGAAATGTTATTGGGTCTTGATCTAAAAATACAAAAGATGCATAGCATGATAAAATGGCTTATAAGGTTAAATTTTTCATTTAAATTTCATATGTATTTCATTAATGAGGCTTTGTCTGTCCTGTATTCAACAGCTGTGTTCTGTACTGGAGCCAGAGATGGAAATATTATGGTCTGGGACACCAGGTGCAGCAAAAAAGGTATTGATTAGATCAGATATAAGTTACCAAGGTTTCTTTTGATATTCTGTGATGTTTTTATTTTTGCCCCACCACATCTTCTTTTGGTAAAATGGTAGAAGCCGATAGAGTTTATGGGACAAAAACAGAACGATTGTGGTCATTCATATATTTGGCAGAGTGTGTGATCGTATTGTGTCTTCCTCTCAGATGGTTTCTACAGACAAGTGAAACAGATCAGCGGCGCTCACAACAAAGCAGAGACAAACCCCGCCTCTAAAACGAAGAAGAGACGGAGCAGCATGCGCGGCATGGCTCCCAGTGTGGTGAGTTTCCTTAATACCTGACCCTGCTTACCGAAATGAAGTGGAACAGAGACTAGGGAGGCGGAGAGGCGAGGTTGATCTTCAATCACTTCATCTATTTTTGCAGGATACCCAGCAGAGTGTCACAGTGGTTTTGTTTCGGGATCAGCATACCCTCATCTCGTCTGGGGCTGTTGATGGGTAAGAAACAACTTCTTTTTGATTAACGTGCATCAAGTCAACGTGAAATGACTCATCAGCGTGAGCTTTTGCGTTGTCGTGTTGATTTTTTTCTGTTTCGTTCCTGCTTACCAGAGTAATCAAGATGTGGGATCTGAGAAAGAACTACACTGCACACCTTCAGGATCCTGTTCCACTGCAGATGTACCCGTACCCGGGTTCTTCCATGCGCATGCGACTGGGTTAGTTTTGTGCTAAAACTTGGCGTCACGTTTACATGGAGTTGAATGCAAGTCATGAAAAATAAACTGAGGTTTCGTTTTTTGCATGTCTTGCAGGTTATTCCGGACTTGCTCTGGACTCCACAAGATCCAATGTTACGTGTAACTGCACTGATGATAATATTTACATGTTCAACGTCAGTGGAATAAAGACGACTCCAGGTAAACGAGGGCTCCACTCATACTGCACATGTTGTGTAACTGTGCAAAAATAAGCCTTTTCCTGTTTATCACTTATTTATTACCATTGTATATCACTAGATGGGGCTGCAAACTAATGTCCTTTGGCTTAACTATAACGAGGAGCAGGGCCGTGTTTGATACAGAGGAAATGTAGAGATGCAGGGACTTAGTGTGCTTATCCTAATGACATTTAAATCAGAGCTTTGAAGGTGTAAAAGAGAGAGATTACTACCCCTCACTGGGGAGCTAACTAGCACCAAATCAACTAGCAAGCTGGGCAGCCATCTTGATGCATATTGCAAAACATTTCAGCACAAAGCAGATACTTGTTGTGTAGGATCTTCTTTTTTTCTTTTTCTTTTTTCAGTCACTGAAGGAAAGTTGTGTTTCTCTGGTTGCATCTCCTTCAGGCTCATGTCATTGCTTTGCCTTGCTCTCTGTTTCTGTGTAGTCTCAGGCTTGTTTGCTCTCTGAATCACAACTTTAGTTTTAATATTCCTGCTTGTTTTTCTTCCACAGTGGCGGTTTTCAGTGGCCACCAGAACTCCTCATTTTATGTAAAGTCCAGTATTAGTCCAGATGACCAGTTCTTGGCCAGTGGCTCAAGTGACAATCACACATACATCTGGAAGGTAAGGTCTTCGTTTTATTCTGCCCTTTATATCATGGAAATGGTTTAGTTTATGTCTGCAGTGTTTAAGGGTAATGCAATATGTTTTTAGGTTTTTCACCTATTTTTACATTTCAGATCTCTGATCCGCAACATCCTCCCATGATGCTTCAAGGTCATAGTGAGGAAGTGACATGTGTTTCATGGTGTCCAACAGACTTCACTAAGGTAGGTCAGCAAACCACAATGGCTTTTGAAAAAGTGTTAACAAGTCACAATCAGCTGTGTTAGTATCATGACCTCCATCTTGTTTCCTTTGTGAAAAACCTACAAATGATTCCAAGGTTTTTTATGTTTCCCTGCTGTAAAGCTGAGTGGTTTTAATAGGCCAGGAAGCTGGATTTAGGCTCTGTGTAATCCCCGTTGCTCTGTTGGCAGATTGCTTCCTGTTCGGATGACCACACTGTACGGATCTGGAGGCTTCAGCGGGAAATGGATGGAGCGCAGTCTGCAGTGGGAGAAGCCAACCTTGTAGGCTGGGCACATCCTAAATCCCCCACAAGTAAGAATTTCAACTACCTTCCTGCCATTGATCTACCGTGTAATCATATGCACGTTGTCTTTTCTGCTACTGTTATTTTAGCTAGAAAAACGTGACAAAAACGTTTCAGATGTTGTGCTGCTGTTCAAGCACAAGGAATACAGAAGAGCTTCTTCATAGATCACTGTTTTTCCTGCAGTTGAATACAAAATATGTGAGTCAAAGTACATGTGGTGTCACAGCGGACTAACAATGACTTCTGCTTTTGTCAAGGGCCTTCAGTCAGAGCTGAGACAACTCCTGCCAAGACCCAGAGGACAGAGAGTCTTGGAGGCCTGACCTCACCCCAGCTAGCTGTCTGTGCTCCCAGTAGAGCTGCCCTGCCTCTGCCCTCCAGCACCACTTCACCTATCCAGTCTCAGGATGCAAAGGCTGCTGCTGTCCGCCAGAGAACACCAACCTCTATCAAACAGTGGTTATCTCCGAGCCATGGCTCTCCCAGTCAGGTCAGCACTCCTCTCCGCAGGGTGTTGAGCCCGTGCCCCCAGAGCCCGGCGAGCAGCACCTCTCCCACTGAGCGACGGGCCAAACGCAGGCTGGAGACTGGCGGCGGTGCATCTGCAGGCTGTGAGGGTGCAGAACAATGTGACTGTGTTACTGAACTTTACCCTGCGGCCAAGAGAAGCCGGGCACTGTCTGGTATCTGCTGCCCTGCTCAGGAGAGCCGTGTACAAACAGACTGTCACACAGAGGACAAGCAAGCCTCATCTAGACAGAGTGGCAAGGAGAATTACTCTCCCAGACGAATGGACTGGCTGTCTGTGATGGGCCAAAAGATGAAAAAAGGTCACGGAAGCCCGAGCACTCCCAGAAGTCCCAGTAACTCTAAGAAACAAGAAGGCAAGACACCAGCTTCACCGGTAAGTACAGAACTCCCAGGTTTAGAAATGAGTCTCCTACCTTTTCTCTGTTATTGTAATCTTTCTCTATGATGTCCTCTTAGACAAAGCTTCCTCCCTAGAGCCTTTTTCTTGTCAGCATAAACATGTCTTTCACACAACCTTTAGATCATGAGAGACTGAAATATATTATATTATATATTTCTTCAAGGGAGACTGAACCAGTTCACTTATTTAACAGTAGGGAAGCTCACCATGAAAACACAAAAATATTTGTCATTTCTCCTGGCTGTGCAATGTTATTAACGCTTTCTTTCACTTTCAGTTACTTGGAATGTTGCCAGTCTAGAAATTCAAACTTAAAGTTGCTGAATAAGGATAACTGCTTTACAAAAGAAACACACAGGTTTGAGGGATTAACTGAGGTCTGCCCCTCCTAATCAGTGCTAATGTTTACATGCATGTTTTTTTTTTATGGCTATTAAGATGACTGTTGCAGTTGAACCTTTTTTTTGTTTCTTGTTTTTCAGACAACCCACTCACCGCGAACCATGAAGAAAATCTCCACATATTTCTCGAGACAGCCTTCGGAGTGACCTACATGAGCCAATCAGATGATCCGTGCTTTGTCAAATGCTATGTTTTTATTTTGGGTATTTTTAAGCAGGACCCACAAGCAGTAAGCCTCTAAGAACACTGATTTGAGTCCAGGTTATGTGAGTACATGAGCCTGGATGTTGCACAGAGAGTGACAAAACAGTCATTCTGCATATTTGATGCTGCATTTTTCACATCCAAAGAGGCTGTTTTTTTTTGGTTTGTTTTTTTTTTTAAATTGGGTCATAGGTTTTTGCATTTACCTCCTACACAATTTTTCTGGTGCTGTGCTGAATTGCTCTGCTTTAGAAATCAGATTGCATTTTGCAGAGCAAATCTTTCATTTTACTCAAATCTGACAACTTTAACCGATGTATTACCATTAAATACAAGAGCCCACGTTTAATGAAGTTGTTGAGGAGGATAAACAGGTATTAATCCTCAAGTGCAGAGAAAAATATGTCTACAGGTGTGGATGTTTTTAAGTTCTGCTAAAAAAAAAAAAAAAGAAATCACCATTTATTTGCTCAAATGTTTGATCTTTGAGACCTTTTATGAACTTAACTAAGGTTTAAACCATAAGCTGGGCACAGATAGGCTCTGTAACAGTTTGTACGCACGCCATTATATCTTAATCTTTTTGGGTATTTTCATACAGGGGTTTTGACCTTTTTCTGCCAGTGTTACACATGAAATTCTGCTAAATGTGTTTTTTCTTGTTTATATGTACAAAATAACCAATGATTGTTGCTTGGCTCATCTGTATTTAATTAACACAAACTTCCTGTGGTCTGTTCTTATTAAATTGAAAATAGTTTTCAAAGTGTGTGTTATGTGAATAGATGTATATTGTATAACAAATATTCTTCTATTCTCAGCTGATTAAAGTTAAAATATGCAGTATTTCATCATCATCATCATCCCCTGTCCTAGAACATATTTTTATTTAACTAGATGTTTACATAGTTTGAATTATGATTGATATTAAGCTGAATGGGTGAGAGCAGCTGCTTGGGGTTAGATGCAGGAAAATGCACAGGAAAAGCAGGAATATTTAATCTTTTATTTGAAGAGACAGTGCCATCACGTACATAAGGGCTGTAAAGACAGATTCCCTTGCTTTCAATGGTAAACATGTTTATATGCTGCAGTTTTGATGTTTTGAGGCTACTGCAGTAACTTTCTCTGACCATTAATACTGTACTTACTACAACTGCCACTCCTCATTCAACTGCACAGCGTCACGTATTTGTTTTCACATGTCACATGTTCAGGCCCCGCGTTCTCTGCCACCTGATTGGTTTAAAAAGTTTCCAGGTTTTTAATTCTCTGCCTGTGATTGGCCGTTGCAACTGTCGCTCGTTGACGTAAGCTTGTCAAGCTCTGCAGTCCACCAAACAGCCGAGTCCGATAGAAAGCGACGGAGCGGCGGTACTGGGAGTGTTTTATGGCTGCCTACTCAGCACGACATCTAGTAATTTGTTGTATTTGAGAATACTTGGTCTTTTTAGAGGCCGTGAAACTAGCGCTCTATGTTCAGCGAGGACTGCAGCTAAAATAAAGTCACCCGTATGTGCACACGGCTAACTTTTTAGTGCTAACTGAGACTCAGCCGTCGAGTGAAATTGAACTTCATCGATCGCGGATAGTTCTTCTGAAAATACACTCAACGGAAGTCTAACTAGGATTAAAAACCAGCGCTGGAACACCTTGACTCTGCATTTCCACGGAGAACTGTATGAATTTCATGGGGCAATCGTCTGTTGTAACTCGCCTCCCCTCAACAGCGGTTCAAACTATTGTCGTAGTAGCATACATTAACGTCAGCTAATTTTAGCCAGCTAGCTAGGAACATTAGCTTGCAGCCTAGCAGTACAGTAGTTTGCTGTTGGCAGTACTTTAGCCTACTACTCATCCAGGCAACTTTTTTATGACGATGTCTTTCATATGTTTTGCAACAGGTTGACTGTTTGCAAACACGATGATGCAACAAAAGACATCGGAAATTTAGAAACTTAAGTGATATTTGTTTGTGTTGCTTGTACCGCGGGCAATGTCATGAGTTGTACTTAGGCTTTTTTGGTTCGTGTTTTGAAGACCGTCCCCGTGTTTCAGAAAACAAGTTACTCCTATGATGCAGCCTTTGGACACAGTCTAACTCCAATACCGACCTAACATGTTGGATCATACACAGTAACGCAAGACTTGGATAGGAGACGAGCTTCAAGTGGTGCCGTTTGCTCCATATTTTGTGCTGATGTAAACGAAGAGGATCATTCAGTTGACCTAGGGATACAATAGCTTGTCTGAAGTCTTCATCAGTTCATGCATCAAAATGTCGGCCATCTCTGCATCCGAGAAAGTGGACGGGTTTACGAGAAAGTCCATGAGGAAGGCCCAGAAACAGAGAAAATCCCAAGGCTCCTCTCAGTATCGCACTCAGAGCGCTCCAGTTGAGCTTTCACCGCTGCCGCAGCTCAAAGGTACGGTAAGAGGATGAAGGGGTCTGCCTCTCAAAATAGGCTGTCTGTCATTACCAGTGTGTTGTGTGTTACGCTAAATCAGCAACAATGACATTCAGCTCGTGAAAGCAATTTATGCAAATTATGTACGCAATTTACGCACATGCCACTGTGCATAGCCTAAGCCAACCATGTTTAAACCTGCTGGCCAGGGGAATACACTGGTGCAGAGTTGTGGACGCATCTGCAAACATTTCCCTCTGTTACATGCTTCTTTTCCTCTGAACAAGCAGCTTGGACGAATTGACCAGAGGGAATTTGAAAAAATGACATGACTGTTTGCCAAATTGCAGTACATCCGTTTTGTGCTCTTGAGTTTTGCCAACAAGTTCAGTTTGCATTACTGTCGCTTTGTACTTACTGCCAAGTTACAAGGTGTTTTTATGGAGACACAGAATAGCCTCACGTGAGCAGATAGGACTGAATTGACATGCACAGGCACATCCAGAGGGTGATGTTGAAGAATGGGTTAAGAGGGATTTAATGCTTTTGCATCAAGGTGTTGTGGAGGCGAGATGCAACTCTGCTAGATGTATCTCCAGAGTTGCTGGTAGAGAGTGTTGAAAGTGAAGACAACATTGCGCATGTTGAATACAGGCTCAGTAATCTTTTCTTTGTGGCTTGACAAGTTTATATTTTATGACATTGCAAATCACTTCCAGTGCAAACATGCTGAAGTATAACTGAAGTCCTGTGCCAGAGGCAGGATTGCTGGAAAATCTCAACGTACAAGTATATAAAACTGGCTTAACTCATTCCCATTCCTTCCCCTAAGCCAAATCATCCAAGCAAGTATAAGAACATGAATGCGTAACCTGCATGTCACAAGCTACTTGAGCCAAGCCTTATACTAAAGTTTGCTCACAATACTACAGTTGTATTCCACAACATTTCACAAGACTGAAAGGTACCTGGTGAGGAATATCACAATGCTGCACTTGTGAAAATTAGAACTACCAATTAAAACACCAGGTAAACTGATTTTGTTTTTGCAGTGGTGTGTGCGACCCTATCATGTCAGTGGTAACTTAGCCATAGGATATTACAGAGGAAAGTACAGGACAGCAAAAATGCATCAAGTGAAACATGATAATGCGTGGGATAACATGGGTGACCCGTATTAGGCTTTGGAGAGTCTGTTGTCAGTTGATGCAGTCTGCTGTTGTAGGTGAAGGTGGGCATGTGGGGTGGAGGTCTGATATGTCATGTGACCTTATCATGGAATCTGTTCCTTTCCTGTCAAATGTAGTACTGCTCCTCCTAAAAGGAGAAATGCCTCACATATTTGTTGAATTGTGTTGATTGCCTGATATTTTCTTAACCACAAATAACACATATACGCATTTTAACAATATGTAAATGCAATGCAACCATCTACATAAAGTCTTTACATTCATACAGTCAGTGTTTTCTGCAACATGGCAGTTTGTTTCTCCATTATATAGTTATATATTTTATACTCAGATGTTGAATTCTTCTATGCAATTTATTCCAACACAAACACACCATGATTGGTATGAGCTCAAATTCAGTTTTTGATAGCTACAATGACCTGTGGCCATTGTAGTTTATTAACATGCTTTCAGTACTTGGCAGCAGTTAGGTTTTGGTTTGAAAACTGCACTGACATGAACTGGCACATGACATGAATGCACAACAAAATTAGACCTTCTTGGCCATTTCTTCTTTCAAAAACTGATTACATGATAAACTAAGCATACACCTGGCTACATAGCTGTTGGTTGTCTTCCTGTAGCCTGTGGTTAAATGCGACACTGCTGAGTCTGCTTACAACTGTGTGTATTTAAGGTCCATTCATAACCATGCGTGCATTTCCAGTGTGTACTTTAACACATTTTCACAAGTTATTTGAATGTAGTACAGCAATCAGCTTGCATTGTTTATGTTAAGCTAACGTAATACAGGGGAATGGAAATATGGAATTAGAGTTTTGGTTGAACTTTGTCTACAGTATCTCAAAGACATAACACTGTGTGACTTATAAAACTATAGCAGTGTAACACTTCATCGTATAATCACAGCATAATGTTGTAGAGACTACTGTTGAGAATTTAGAATAATAAGTTTTGGCAGCAGCCCTAATCCTGATTCATATTGCTTTTTTATTTCAACAGAATGGCATTATCAAATCTAATGACACAACTTAAATTTGACATTTGCTCACATTTATAATGCAGACAAACCTCAACAAATTATGAACAGTGTTGATGTTACTGGTAAGAGCAGAGGTGAGGTAAGAAACTTGCCCGATCAAGTAGTTGGAAGTTTTCAACATGATGCAACTTCTCATATGCTGAAAACAAAAGAATGTCTCAAACAAGTTGGAATCAAGGATTAAGTCTTAACTATTTTATTGTTTATCTTGTGTAGTACATACAGAGAGTAGATATTATTAAAGCAGGAATTTGAAACAGTTGATATGATTTTCCCAGACTAGAGCATTGCACCACAACAATACCCAAAATCGTCTTAAAACAGCGTAGCAGCAACTGCCTTGTTGTCTAGCTTTAAAGTGGCAGCAAAATTATCCCATTTTCTCCCACTAAAAGCTTGAGGGTGATTTGTGCCTTGGCATGGTGAATGCTTCTGGTATGGAAATATGGAAATCTCAGTTCTGAAATTTAAATCATTTAAATTCACATTGTCACACATTTCTTGAGGTTTGCCTTTCTGATAGTACAGCAGTCAGGTTTCATTCTTAAATCAGATCATTTGCATATAATTCAAGTAGATTATTGTTTATATGTATGTTGTGTAGGAAAAATGCTTGTAACAAGCTCATGCAACAACTTTCATTTCTATGAAAATGTGTTTGAGAAGTGTTGTAATTAATCATCGGCATAGCTGGAAAGCTTTTACAGTGACAGCACATAAGGGTTACCCACTCACTAAAAGTTTGACTTGTTTTTGGTGATTGCTTTTGCAGCAAAATCTGTGGAGTCTTGTGTCTCACCACAGCAGACTGACACATGGGATTGTTATTTTCTCCTGTGGCAGTGGAACACAGTTGTGAATGATCACTGTAAGGACTTACAGATTGAGTTCAGTTGTCCTGGAACTGTGGATGTTCAAACTCTCTATTATTTTGAGCACCTGTAGGACCTTTCGTTCATGTTTAAACTATTGCATTTTTTCATTCATAAATGGAAATCCATAAATAAATTTCTATTTCCGTCTACATTTGTACTTTACCTTGAGTATGTTTGCAGGACCAGTCTAAAATGTTTAATATTTAAATTCATTGCGTCTGTTATCTCTGTAGTGTGTGGTTACAAATAGGCCTCATGCACAGGCACAGCTGTGCATACTTATTGTATGTTATAGTGTAAATTTTAAACAAAACAAAATGGCAACAGTGTTGGTCTCTGAGTGGGACCAACACTGTTGCCATTTTGAAACCAACATTTTTGCTATTATCTGTGGTATTGTGCTATCAGCTGATAACACTGTTTGAGTCAGTGTACACAGTTACCTAAAAGCCAAAAGTGATAGGAGTACAATGTCAACATGCAACAATAAGTCCTTTTTATTAGTGTAAACCATGTATCCTGACATGGGTTCCCAAATTAGAGTGCATGCTTACCTGGCCTAATAAACTGAGATATGATGTTCACTTTATCAGCACTATTCCTGGTTCCTAGAGTAACCAGACCAGCTCCTAAAAGATAGTAGCCTGCAGAGATGCTTCTTCCCTCCTGCAGTGGAGAGGCTGGAGCGCTTATAGCTCCTGTTGTGTGATAGACACTGAAAAGATGAGTCACTCAGAGACCAACATTGTTGCCATGGTAGCCAGAAGCCTTGAGAGCAAGCCAGGGAAATGTTTTACTTTCCAAATACAGACTGCTTCATTTAGGCTGCTATTTCTGTCACTGGAGTGAAATTTTGAGCTGAGCCATGATTTCAAACTAGACCTAAGCTTATATTTTGGTGGTGTGGTGGTTATTGTCAATAGCCTAAATATAGTACATTAGTTGCACTATCAGTCTAAAAGCACATTGATTTTTATGTCCATGACTTGTTCCCACACATAGACCAAAGGTAGCAGTTCTGATGTGTTTCATCTTTTTCTGTTTTAAAAAGAAAAAAAAAAAGAAAATCTATTGATTCTTGAATCTGCTGATTGACAGTTACTTCGTTCGTGAAGTCTTACTCCTTGATTTATCACATCTGTGAAGAGTATTCTACAGATTTAGTAATGCACTCCGATAACATTGTTTTGACTCATGATGTACTCATGTTCAAAATCGATCCAGTAGAACCAGAGAAATCTTTTTTTATTCCACGTCTTCTTTGTCAAAAGTGTACGCCTACATTACAACTCAACTGCAGACAGTTTGGTTGGAGAATTGGGTGTGTTATACTAGTAGTGGCTAATGTAGCCTGGTGTTGTTGGCCTCAAGCAGAGATGTGGAGTGGGCTAGAGAGGTCTGGTATCCTCACTTCTTTCCAACCTCCACACCCTCATTTTTTATTTTCAAACTTGCAATCAGCTGATGCAATTTATCAGATTTTGCCACAAAAGGCTTTATACAACTTTTTGTCACATAGGCAGTAGAACTCCCCATGACCTGTAAACAGACTTTGTTGTGTAAAATCAGCAGTTCGCCTTTAAGCTACTCCCTTGGTTCCTAATCATCCATTCATCTGTTCTCCATTCGGTCTTAAAATATAGAAAACTGTTAAATGCTAAAGTTACCATTAACTCTTACTTACTACTCTTACTCAGCCATATGGGAGCTAATCACTAATCACCATCCTCATTATGACCACAATAGCTGCACTTGTACCACTGTTTTCTGCTCCTGACACTGATGCCAGAATTTGACTGAAATCTTTTCCACCACCAGCCCTGATCTCCCTCTCTAGATTTAGAGTGATGATGGTCAGGGGGCCTTATATCACTAAATAGCTATGTGGCTTGTTTTGCATTGATCACCAGC